CCGGGTCGGGCGGTCCGGACCCGGAGCCGGGCCCGGCCGCAATGATCACCAGAGTTTTAAAAAAGTAGTTTGATTTTATTAGAGTAAATGCCGGATATAACCTTCTTTATCTAATACTTTGGTGGATTATTCAACTCGATGATTGGTGAAATCTTAATTTTAAGAATGTTTACAACTTCTCACAATGGGGGCAATTGCTATTTTTTTTTCTTAGGCCAAATTCGGCTCTTGATATTGATTTCGTGATGATCGAAGTAAATCCAGTATATAGTTGAAAAGTCTCAATTCTTGCGAGACGCACGCGGAAGTTAAACTTAAAATAAAAAAATAAATTTGGTGAATTGAATTACTATTATTAATTTTCACCCAGAGTTTGGCCCGGCCCAATAGCGACGGAAACAACCAACTTTACGCGTAGCGCGTCCACTGCTCTCGAATCCCGCGTGGACCCCGCCCTAAACAGCCAATTAGATTCTTCCTTCTCCCAGCAATCCTGATCCTACTCTGATTCCGCGAGGCAACTTACCCTACAAGTCCCAACCCTTTAAATACCTGCCTCCCCCCTCACCAAATCTCCAATATATTTTTTCGCGTCCCTCTTTCGTTTTCCCCCCTTTTGAAACCCTAACCCTAGCTCTCGCCTCCGTCGCCCCCTTTCGCGCTTTTACTCCCGATTTCGCGCTCGATTTCCTTCTAAAAACCCTAGATCTCGATCGTGACCGCCTCGATCCCCTCGCCTCCGGTGCGGTTTCCTTGTTTATTTGCCTCCCCACGCCGCCTGGGGGTGATCTTTTTTGAAGGATTTTGGGGGTTGGAGTTTGGAAAGAGCGATGTCTCGGTGCTTCCCTTTTCCACCGCCGAATTATCGCAGGGAGGAGAAAGGTTGTTCGCTGACCCAATCGATTAAGGTTTGTTGAGCGTTGCAATTGATTTCATTGCGTTTCTGCTCGACTCCCTTTTGATTGGTCGGTTCCCTGGCGGCCTCCCCTTTTATGTGAAAAAAACAAAAGAAAATAAACCCCATCGAATATGTAAACACCAACATATATGAGAATCCTGTTGTTGCTGTTGTTGTTGTATTTTGTAATAGAACCAACTGTTATTGGGATCGTACACGTGTGAAGTAATCTGGGTTTTATTGGGGTTGTTAGTCTTAAACATCAAGGGCTGCTGTTGTTGGATAAATCTAGAGGTTGTTTAGGGTCATGGGTAATTTGTGGATTGATTTATGCTGGAATCATTATGCGGAGAAGTTCCATTTTTTTGGATTTGGCTATTATGCTGTCCTTTTTAGTAACCCTAATCGTGATAATATGCGGTTAGGTCCCGCTCTCATCGCATTTGCATTTAACTAGGGCTAAGATGTAAGATCTGATTGGCAGTACAAAAGGCATTGACTTAACTCGGCGAGATGAAGTGTTTTGACTTGTGGCATAGTTAAGAGTGATGAACGGCGGAGTTTCACTAATAAAAACGCTATGCGGAGAAAATGCAATGCAGTCTAGTCAAGGTTTCTTAAATCAGGATCAGACTAATCTTGTTAGATATATTCATTTGTCAAAATAAGTGGAGTAATGTTTTTGGGTCATCCAACCAGCTAAACAGTGCTTGTATGAACTAGTTTGGTCATATAGGTGTTGCTCCATCGGCTAGTTTGCTTTTCTGTGTTTAGCTTGTTCCAGTTGGCTAGTAATTCTTCTCCGAGTTTAGCATGTTGGTAGGTAAAAGTGTTCCACTTATCATAATTTTGTATGCGGAGCTTAACTATGAGATAGTGACGAGTCCAAGAATGCATTTCTGGTATTTAATGGGCCTTTTGTGATTCATAATGTTAGTTCTATGCAGTCTTATGTTATAGGACAATGGTGTAGGTTTTTTCTCAGGTTAGTCGATATTCTCTAGCTCTTGAGTGACATCGGATGTTGTGCTGCCCTTTGAAGTAGGTTGTTGGTGCTTCAATTAAGTGGCCTTTTTTATTGTAAAATCACTCTGTCCTGTTATATTGTTTTTCCTGATTTTCCCGTATTACAATTAGTTTCAGGTTGCTGCAAGCCAAAGAACTCCCTCCTCCTCCTTTTTTGCTTCTCATCCTTCCTTTGTGGGGAATAAATTTTTTTCCTTTGATGACATTTGTTCTCTTAGGGGTTTGTTTTGTTTGCTTTTTGTTTTTTAACTTTTGGTGTTTAAGGTGATTGGTGATGGCGGTTATAAAAATATAGGTACATAGCATTGCTCTTAAAGTACCTTTTGGTGGGCATGAAATATGAGAATAGGGTAGGCTATGCAGTTTGGAATTTCCTCATTATTCTAGAACTTAGTTGTGGTTCTTTGGTGTGTTTGAGTGATATTTAGTGAGTAGCGAGTGGATTTTTCGGGACCATTGCCACGGATATTATAGCACAAATTTAGGCGTATCATTTTGAGGGTGGACATTAATATACTGACCTCATTTTCATCAAAGTTCATAAATTGTGCAGTTCTTCCGGTTTCTTTTTCTACAGACAGCTGTTATGCATTAATATGAAATACTGCCTTCATACACATCGCCTAGTATGAAAATGGATGCTTGTAAATCATGTGGCTGCCCTTCTAAATTCGTCTTTTGGGTATTTGATTTGCTTTCCCATCATATATATTGTGTGGGAATTGACAAAATCTGGTGCACTGAAGCTCCAGAGAGATCAAGAAACAGCAAAGGAAAGAAGGAAAGAGAAAAAGAGGGAGAAGAAAGACAGGAAAGAGAAAAGGGATAAATCTAAGGACAAATGTGAGACTTCGAAACACCGGGAACATGGCCACAAGAAGCGGAAGCATGAAGAGATAAAAGAGCTGCAAATGAATGATTGCTACCAGCAAGCGAAAGCAGATAAAGTTGCAACTGAGCAGTTAGAAAAAAGTGAGCTAACCGAAGAGCATGAGCTGCCGTCTCATCTTCCCCAAGAACCCTGTGACTCTTCTGAAAGCACTCAGAACAGCTCCAAGAGCAGGAAGCTTGAAGCTGGCAATATCAGCAGTGGCAACAATGGTAAGTATATCTATCTCTCCTTTGTGTTGGAGCTTTTATGCTCAAATCTTCCTTAAATACTGACATATTGAATGTGCATGGATCTTGTAGGTGGTACAGTTCTCCGCTTAAGGTTGCCATTGAGAAAACATAATGATCAGAAACCGACTTCTGTCAATAATGAGCCATGCTTCTCAGGTAGAACCATCGAAACGCCAATAGAGCAAGAGTTGTGCAATAATGCAGGCAGAGCTTCCAGTTCTACGATAAAGAGTGCTAAGAAAATTGAAGTATTGGCCGAGAGAAAGATGAGCAATAATGCCAACGTCCAATTGGCTGCTATGACCAAGAGCAGTAAGATAACTGAATCTCTAAGGGGAATGGACTTGGGTTATAATGCTCGCAGCCATTCCAGTAGGATCCAGAGCTGCAAGACAATTGAAGCTCCAAAGGAGCAAAAATTGGTCAATAATGCTCTCATCAGCTCTAGTTCTGGGATAAAGAATGCTAAGAAAACTGAAGCATCTGCTGAAGGAAAGCTCAGCAATACTTCCCACAGTCGACTGAGTGCTATGACCAAGAGGAGCAAGATAACTGAAGCTCCCAGATTGATAGACTTGGGTCATAATGCTCATAGCCTTTCCAGTGATAGAATTGAGAGTTGTAAGACAATTGAAGCCCCAGCTGAGCAAAAATTGGTCGAGAATGCTCACATCCCCTCCACTTCAGAGAGCAAGAGCAGCAAAAGATGTCGGAAAATGGACAGGAAATTCAGCGATCTAATAGACAACTTGAAACCTGCACCGTTGCTTCTCGATGCTGAACTTGGCTCTGAAGATCTTGGGTGGCTTTTTGAGAAACCATGTCGAGATCGTGCAAATGTTCAGAGTTCTAGCACCAGCAATGCTGTTGAAGATCGGAGCAATGGAAGTTTCTCGAGTTGTTTCCAGCCAAAGGCCTGCTATTTGCCTGAGTTTGAAATGTATCGGTTGCCATATACTATCCCATTTTGAACTCTGTAGTTGAGGAAACATGATTAGAGTGTTGTGGAGAGGCAATTTTTTGTGTTGTCTTGTGTCTGGGGTTTTGATCTTACATTTAGACGTAGAGAGGAATTTGTTTGGGATGCGGTTTTCTCCCGCATTCTATATCAATATAGAATTCCCCAATTTTGCCAATGTTTACGTGTCTACTGTTACGATCGATTGAAATCTTTCTCCATAAACTATGTCTATTATGATGATGTGCTCCGATTTCATATAATACAAGAAAGCAGGAATGCATGGACGCTCAGAGGGGTGCTTCATGGATCCTCGACGACTCGAAAAGTTCTTGGTTTGTCAAAATGTGTGAACCTGAGAACGCTCTGATCAAACAGGTTAAGCTAGAGAACGGATAAGCCATCGCCATCAAAGGTGAGAAGTATTGCGGGTATTATACTTTCAAATTCAACCGGCGTCATTTCTGAACCTCTTAAATCCATTGCTCACCATTTCAAACCGAAACGCCAGCATCCACTGCAGAGGCGAGAAAACTCGCAGAAAGAAGATATTTAACAGTAGAAGGTGGGGCAGGTAACAAACATGATGATATCTTGTCACGTACCGACCATCACGCATATTTCGTGCTTTCTTTTTGTTTCGGCAACGGATGCACTGTTACTGATCACGCAGACGGAGGCGTCCTCCTTTTTAAACTCTGGCTGGTCTTTTATCACCGTTGATGTCACCGTTGATACCTGCTCCTTTGATTAAAGAGGTTTGATGAAGCTGCAACGAGGAGATATGGTAGTACCTCCATCATAGAGCCATCCAGTATGAAAGTTTCGACATCATGGCGTGACACCTGGCATCAACGTCGGCTCTAAAAAAACAAGACAAGCTTCTCGACCAGGGGTGGAAACGAACCGAATCGAATCGAATACCATGGTATCCATATTCGTATTCGGTTGATTTTTACGAATTTGGAGTCGAATTCGTCTCGAATAGGGAATTGGTGTTCAAATTTGATTCGTTAACTAGACGAATATTTGTTAAATGTTCACGAGATCCTCGACCATGAGGTATATTTGAAGTCTGACTTTGTAATTATGATATTTTAATATAAGAACTATTATGGTGTGCGTTTATAAATTATTAATATAATACTTATAAATAGCAATACTTATAAAATTATGCGCACATAAAAAATAACATAATATAATAATCTAGAAATAGGAAAATATAAACGAATATTTAATAATAAAAGGAGTCAAAAGATACCTCTGGTAAAATTCTATTAGTTTATACGCCGAATACTTGAAAAAAATATTCTATTAGTTCAAATTCACTATTTTCTCATGTCGGAGGTGACACAATTCCCTGATGTGAGTCGAGATCAACAGGCTCCCATTTGATTTCAAAAAAAAAGAATTTGGTCATTTTAGAAATTCTAGAACAAACGTCAAAAGGACTGAATCCGAGGAGAATAATTTCCATGACAATCCAGGTTGCGTCTTTTCTTCACACCATCATCAATCTTTTTTCTGAAGCACCCGCCATCGTTGACTCATCGTCATCAAGCATTAGCACCGATAAAAAAAATATCCGGAGAAAAGAAGGCAAACCGGTGACCAACACTTGAAATCGTTACATTTTCAAAAAAAACATTCCCTTTTTTTTTTCCATGAAAATGAAACAAGATCCATCACACAGGACTTAGAGACCTCTGAATCCTCGCGGACGCATAGATTCTAACTATCGAAAACAAAAATGAAATGCATGCACAACATGAGAAGAGGGTGGGGGGGAACTAATCAAAACTTGAAGAGCGGCTCCAGCGTTCCCTCAAGTAATCATCCAAGGAGCTAAGATGATTCTGGTCGAAGCTGATTTCGGACGCATCGTCGTCTTCCACGTCGAGCAATGCCAGGCCTAAATGCGACCTCATGCTCGGAGACGAATGCGCTTCTTCATCCTGACAGTCTACTACCTGCTTATGAGAATCATTAGCTTCGGAGTTCACCCATGATTCGATCTCCTCCTCCCCTTGCAGAAGACCGAGTACCTGTTTCGTAGAGATAAAAATGTCAGAAAACATGAATTTTGTTTTGTTTTTCATTATTTTTTAGGCTGAAATGATATTTGTTTCAAACCTGGCTCATTTGAGGCCTGAGTTGCGCTGTTCTTGCGATGCAGAGGGATGCAACCAAGATCGTTCGTCGCACTTCGTTCTCATCATATTTGCCTTCAAGTTTGGGATCTATGAACTGTTGTAAATCTCCTCTCTCTAGAACTGGTGTGGCCTAAGTTCAAAAAAAAAAAAAGGTAAACATTTGATATTTTTATTAGAACACTAAGAATCACGTGTAATTGTTCCCATCAATTATTCTTACCCACATAACCAAACTCTCTTGACCCTTGGGGTTCTCAACAGAGATTGGCTCTCTGCCTGTTAATAGTTCAAGCAAAACTACCCCATAGGCGTATACATCGATCTTATTGCTTACTTTCCCATACATAATATACTCAGGAGCAAGATACCTGTCGAAAGAATCGACTTCTACGCGTTAAAAACAAACTATTACAAGTGAAATAAAACAGAGGTATCATGTGACATACCCGAAAGTCCCGACGATATCATTATGTGTTTGGGGTAATGAACTTGTTGGTGCCCATGTAGCCAGTCCAAAATCAGATAACTGGAAGCATATAAAACAGAAACAAATTCTTGTTGACATACTAATCCTGAAAAAAAAATACAGAAACTATTGATGAACATATGTCAAGAAGAAAGAACCTGTGGTTCAAAATCATCATTGAGAAGAATGTTTGAAGATTTAACATCTCTATGAATAACAGGCTTTGAACATCCAGTATGCAGATAACTCAATGCTTCAGCAACCCCGACGGCAATCTTGAATCTCCTCTCCCAGTCTAGCTCAGTTTTTGCACCAACCCCTGTTTCCAAATCAATACATGTAAATTTCTTGAATCAAAGATGCAGTTTAAGAATTCCAACTTCTGACGAAATCTTACCATGGAGGTTTTCCTCCAAACTTCCTTTGGAGAAATAGCCGTAAACAGACAGAAAATTTTTGCACTCGACACAAATACCCAGTAAAGGAACAATACGCTCATGCTTCAAATTTGTGATTATATCGGCCTCCAACAGAAAAATTTTCGATGTTTCCTTTGATAATTTCGACAACTTTATTGCCACTTTATCTCCATCAGGAAGGCATCCTTTATAAACTTGACCGCTCCCTCCTTTCCCAATCAAATTCCCTGTTTAAAAACCAAAACTTACATTGAATAAAAATTCAAAGAAAATATCAAGGTCAGAATGCAAATGAAAAAGAACGAAGAAAAATAACCTGTGGAAAAGTTTTCTGTCGATATTTGTAGTTCCTCATATTGAAACCATTTGCAGGTAGATGAATTGTCGCGAAGAACAATCTCCAATTCTTTGATCAGTTCAACCGTTGCAGATTGAAACAAAGCTCTATCTGGCAAGTTCATAACCCACTGAACCACTGACATATTTCGCGTGTCGCCGTCCTCTAAATCCTTGATGTGCACCCTCATCGCTTTTCTCAGCAGCGGCCAGCCTAGATTAGATTCTGGCAAACTGTTGCCGAGAACTGAAATGGGGTTACTTAGTTGATAAAGAAAAAGACTGCGATCGTTTGAACTCCCCGATGATCTTGGGGATTCGGTATCGCGATCAGCTTCGCAACTACGAGGCAGTACGGTTTGAAGATCCGGCTTCGGTTCCTCTCCTAACACAAATAAGAAGTTACTCAGTCAGTAATTTTGAACAAAATTAATCAATGAGATTTGTCGCGACAAGATTATACCTGAAGGGTGCTTCTCAAAAATGACCTTTCCGTTATCGAATGCAATCAGAGATGTGGATGGAGGCAGTTTCTTTGCACAGTACTTAGCCACCGAAGCAGGACAACTGAGAGACAAACTTTCTACATAAATTACTGGAAAATAAAAAATCTAGAAATCTACGGGAAAACTGAATCATGCATGCTGCTAAATTTCTAACACTTGCCCAAGAGAGAAACCTGTGTCTGCACCCACAACCACAGTGTCTGCAGCACAAACCGCTGCCTCCTTCGCCAGAGTTTTCCTTATGGAGATCCCTCGAGAAACTCGGCCCTCGAGAGATATCTACAAATATTGAAAAAAAAAGAAAGAACACAAATCATATATACTATAATTTGCAGGGGAAAAAAAAATTCCACAATAATCAAATCAAACAACTCACTTGTTTCAGAGTACAGAGCTCTTCAAATTCTAGTTCTGCCAGTAACTCATCCAGTGCCTTTATTAAAGATTTGGTCGTCTTACCAAAATCTACAAGAAAAAAAAAAAAACCCATCATAAAAAAATTAAAAAAGCAAGACAAAAACGTACTAATTTGTTTTGAGATCGATGGTTTTAGTACCCGAAGTGCGAGAAATATGAACCGCGATAACTCGGTCTCCTTCTTCGGTGACGTTGTTGAGAGCCCAGCTGAGTAATTCTCTGCCGTTGCTGTCGATTTGAACGCAAACCAGAACACGTCTTTTTCCCTCGGCCGTGCTCTCCGCGTGAGCCGTCATTTTTCCGCTGCTATCTCACTTCTGAATTCAATGGCTCGGAGAAAGAAAACCCAAGTTGAGAATTTTTAAACGAGCATCAAACTCGATGCAGGGGTTTCGGCTGGCATCGGCGGAGAAAGGAGGAGGAAGAAGGAACTGTAGAGTTTTTCATTTGTATTCTAAACCTCGGGTCATTGGTCACATTCTAAATTGATGTTCCCTTTTTTTTTTAATTGAATTGCCGCCACGAGATCATACCTGCTCCAACTGAAATACAAATATGACCGCCTCCAATTAAAAAAAAAAATCCAGCACCAGAGTAATCTAATAAAATAAGAGGGAGAAAGAGAAACAGGGGCTAATAACAGAAAGAGAGAGAGAGAGCACACACCGCAAGTTGGTAGGTTCTAATATGACTTCCACGATCTCGGGTTTGATTCCGAGCTCGATAACTGAAGGTTTCAATATGGCTCTCACGGTTCTTGGGTTCGATTCAATTCCGACCTCGGCAAATGTTTCAATATGGCTCCCACGATCTTGAGTTCAATACCGTGCTCGGTTATCAAGGGAGAGAGAATTCAGACAGAGGGAGAGAGAGAGAGAGAGAGAGAATTCGGCAGGATATTATTATTAGGAAAGAAAAGCTAAATAGGTTCTTCTGTGTTTGATAATCAAATTTGTACAAATATTAACATAATAAATAGAATTCTGTACGACTGAAATCAGTATATAACTCAATAGTTAAAAGGTCTCTTCCATCACACTAACGCTTCAAAGGTTATCATTGCCGCACAATATACTTTTTTTTAATTTAAATCCACATAAAAACATTGCGGATGGCATTTGAATATGTATTACTATGGCAGCATCAAAGATATTTTTCACTATACCAAAATTTCGGAGATATGATAAATGTCAAGGATATTAATTTTTATATTTTTACCATCATCAGTAGGATCATCAAATTCAAAATAAATATTGGAAGAATTATGGTGACACCTTCCTCCTCATATCTATTCCTCTATAATAATGGAAGAACCCAAGAATCATAATATATTTTTATACTACAGTAAATGATACAGTAATTTATTATAGTATTTTCAAAGAAATATCACCGTAGCATAAGCAGGATATTGCAGCATTATTAAAAATATTTCTGTAGCAGAGATGAGATACTATAGAATTTTAAAAATATTAACGTAGAATTTTTAAAAAATACTACAATAATTTAAAAAAACAAAATTACTGTAGCGATAAAAAAAAAGTGAGGCCGTGCGAACCACGCGGCGCACGATAGTAATTTTCGGTAATATAAAGCAACCTCTATAGGATATTTCTCTATTTATTAATTGAGGCGTAAAGAAGCAGAGGGTCCCATGGCGGTGGGAGGTTCGGCGCAGCCATGGTGGGAGGTTCGGCGCAGCCATTAAATTCTTGCGGAGCAGAGTACCCGCGACCTTTTTTCGCGGGAAACCCGCTATAACCGGTCACGACGAGGGGACCGGCCCGACGCATTAAAATTCCCGTTGAAATTCAACTGATGCTGACAACACCGTATGCATGCTAACCAACAGGGCTCCACGCAAACGTGGACCACAAACACTTTTTTTTTTTTTTTTACAGCAACCTATCTTTAAAATAGAACTATTCCGTAGAATTCATCTTTAATTTTTAATTTTTACATAGTTATTTTTTATTGTAATTTATCACTTGAGTTCACTTTTTAGTTAATTTTTCTAATAATTGATCCCAACCGACTTTCATTATGGGTCATCTGTCTAATATACTTAATATTTGTCAGCTAAATATTATAGCAAAATCCAAAAAAATATTTTGACTTGAAATTGAGTCTATAGGCGGTTGATAATAACAAAAAAGAGTTTAAATATGGTTTATATATAAATTAAAAATTAAATCTGGTTTCTACTGAATGACCCCATTTTTAAAGGTGATTTGTAGGGGGAGAAAACCTAAATTTGAAGTTGTAGAAAATATTTTTACGGTATCATATCAAAGAAAATTAAAAGAATCCAATAAAATTAAAGAAAAAACAATAAATATAGGCGATAATATACAGGGAAAATGGTCAAATTTCCAAGTCCAAACTGATGGCTCACTCTCTGTCAATATCTACGATTACGAATGAGCACTATAATAAACCTTAGTCAATTGCTAGACTTGAAATATTGAAATGAATAAGAAACTCGTTGGCTAAAAATATATATATTTTAAAAAAAAGTTAGCGTTGAACTGGTCAGCATTATCTACGTCTAACTCATGTCTTAATCTGATGTTTATAAGGAAAACAGAAATTAGACGTTCCCTTGGACTACCAATCAGAAGAGTACACCTTCACTTTGAAATTAGTTGCTTTCTCCTTCGGGATGTCAACTAAGAATTTGAGCCCACAACTCCTCTGGTTTTAGACAATTTTATAAGTATTTCTCTTCTTCTAATCTTTGCTTTTATCTTTTTTTTTTGAAGGAAAAATTTGTAAAATAGACCTATTTTGCTAAATATGTAGCAAAACATACTGTTTTGCTAAATATTTAGCAAAATAGACCTTTTTTTTATCAACATGCCAAACAGAATTCGATTTTGCAAAACAGACCATTCGAAACATGAGAGTAAAACTTTGGAGAGGATACGGTTATGTACGGAAGAAAAGAAATGAAAACATGCGGAAGACAAAAGAAATGAAAAGAAAGTGAAATTGAGAAATCATGAATTTTGAAGAGATGTGGAGGAGCAGTTTGATGTGAGCAGGAATGGCCTCTTAGAAGACCTCACATGGCTGCGGAAGTTTCATTGCACTCGCGTTTTTTTTTCTCTCCAAGTTTTATTTTGTTTGGAGTCAAAACACCCGTGTATGTTATTATGCCCCACGTGGGGACTACAACGGTCCAACAAAATATTGTTGAACATCTGCACCCAGCATTGTGTTTAAATCCTACTGAAATACGTACACTTAGGGGTGTTAAATGCTACTAATATAATTGAGGAGTGATAAGTGTTAGTGAAAAATGTAGATGATGATGATAGGGGTGGGTGGGGGTTGGGGGGGGTTGTTAAAGTTCTGCAAGTGTTGTGCTCTGCTGCTAGGGGTGCATTCGGTCCGGATACGGCTCCGGTATGATGCTTACCATATCCATATCCGCTTACCCATCTCGAATACGGATACGGATACGGATATACCTCGGTAAGAAAAACTTATAACCATATCCGCTAAAATCGGATACGGTTACAGATATACATGCGGATATATAAGCGGATATGCATGCGGATACAAAACAGATATGAGAAAACTAGATAGTATTGAGAAAAACATAGTTCATGTGATACAAAAAAGTTCGTTAATATGTCCATTATAACTAAATAGTTAAGATTAGTCATCTTGATCATCAAAATTAACCACAAATCCATAATCTAAGAATCGAAACTATCGTAAGAGTATGACTAATATGTATTCGGATATTTCGGATACGGATACGGATATTTTACTACAAAACCATATCCATAACCATATCCTATCGGTTATAGATTTGAGTAACCATATTCGTATCCTAACGGATACGGTTACGGATATTTCATCGGATACGGATACGGTTTAGCACCCCTATCTGCTGCTTGTTCCAAGCTAGGATAAAGGAGGAAAATTACGTTAGGTAATCGGTAGCTGGCAGCTAGCATAGAACATAGCCGGATCTATATGGCATGTAACCTGCAATTGTGGTTATTGAAGAATTCGCTCCTGGAACTTATTCAGTCGGAAGTTTTAGGCGAAAATTCAAACAAGTAAATATAACTTTTAAGGAGCAAGAATTACATTAAACTTTCAAGTCTTTGCTGCTCATCTATGCCATTCTTCTTTGTTCTGACATCTTCAAACTAGTAATATAACTTTTAAGGAGCAAAAATTACATTTAACTTTCAAGTCTTTTCTGCTCCTCTATGCTATTCTTCTTTGTTCTGACATCTTCAAACTAGTAATATAACTTTTAAGGAGCAAGAATTACATTAAACTTTCAAGTCTTTGCTGCTCATCTATGCCATTCTTCCTTGTTCTGACATCTTCAAACTAGTAATATAACTTTTAAGGAGCAAAAATTACATTTAACTTTCAAGTCTTTTCTGCTCCTCTATGCTATTCTTCTTTGTTCTGACATCTTTATCCAACAGCAGGATATACATTTTTTGACTGGTTTTCATATAATGATGTGCAGAACATAATGTCGTTTCTTTTTCTCCCTTGACTAAAGATACGATGTCCAAAATACTCGATCTTTTCTCATAAAAGAAGATAAAGCTTTTCCCCTGAACTTTTTTTTAGGCATGCGGAAGGTTAAGAAAGCAAGTTGCATACTTTCAATTACAAGATGATGTGATAAAGGGAAGAAATAATATGATGCAACTCTAGGTACTTTTGCATGTGTCACACATTAAAATGCTCAAATGGCCACCTATCTGTAGAAAACCATATTTAATTTTGCTATTGCAGATATCGTCCCTTTAGTCATATTTTTTTGACTGCTTTTTTTTAACCCTCAAGAGGTCTATTTGTAAAAAAAAAAATTCCCCTTCTCTAGATGTAACTGAGCGATAGTAGAGAGGGCCATTAGTTTCTACACAGTAGAATCAATCTCGCAGACTCACAGGGTGACCAATTGTGAAGAAAGATATCGTCCAAATATCTAGATTATTTAAAAACCATGCATCTACTGGCTAAAAATGGCTAAAATAAATGAGTACATACACTTAAATCTCGACAGGGCAACATATTTAGTAAACAAATGAGATATGATGAGATCACCCAATCAATTATTTACCAATATCACCAAGATATATTATTGTGCACAAAGATGTTCTTAAAACTGACAATCTTTGCAAAAGTAATTAAAAGTACTGCTCTTTACAAGACTAGTTTATATCTGATTAGCTCTATTAGGTGGGCATTATAGAGCAATTATGAGATGCAAACATCATATTCAATAATTTATAACAGACCTAAAACATATCAATTATAGGAAGTAGATGGAAGTTGATATAAAAAGTCACAACAAATGGATACAAAATGAAACTCATGGAAAATTGCAAAGTCAAGAGAAACACTTTCAGGTAGCTTATGGATAAAAAAATGTTTAGAACCCAAAACTAGTCCTTAATCCCTCTTCCTCTTGTGAATTTGAACTTGTTGTTACTTCAAAGTGGCCATCATAATCGAATCCGTTATGTTAAACATCAGAAGATCGCTTAAGCCCGCAAGTTTAATCGTCTTAAATGGATGTCTTATCCAAATCTACACACCTAGCAACTTAATCAAACCATTGCTACTAAAATTTATTTCGAAAATTGAATTGAACACAAAGGTATGTTGAGCTTCCTCACCACCTAACCTTACGAAAAGAATTTGATGAAACAAGTCAAATCTCGAAAGTTGATAGCATTAGTTAAGAGACGGTAACCAAACCGTCCTTTGCTTTCTTTGTTTAATAGATAAAATCAGAATTAGATGCCGATACCTTAACAGATACTAATGAACAGCAAGTGGGAATAATTAGGTTAATGTTTACAAGTTGCTCTTTGAATTAAGACAATTTAAACCAAGTAGTCCTAATAAGAATGAGATAATAGTCATTCTTTTTGGATGACACTAAACAACCCTTTAATAGACAAGATGAAAATTGGTAGAGATGATGGAAATATTCAGGCAGAAATTTAAGAAATTTAAGCCCTTTAGATAAGAGACAGAAGTTCAACTCTACTTAGCCTTCTAATGTGAAACTGTCAAAAAAAAAAAAAAACCCATGAATGTAAAACTAGGGAACTGCATAAGTGCGCATATATCTTATCAAAGAAGCAGCAAGCATTTCATCAAAATGAGGAATTAGTACAAATTTTGAAAAGCAACTCATTTCCAAAAATAATTGTAAAAAACGACCTCTTTGAAACTTATATGCCAAAAGCAACCCAAACTGGGTCGTTTTTTGTGAAAAATACCAAACTTCACGGGACTTCAAGTTTGGTATTTTTTTTCATCAAAAACGACTGAAACTGAGTCGCTTTTGGCAAATAAGTTTTAAATAGGTCGTTTTTGATGAATAAGTTTGGAAATGGGTTGGTTTTCAAAATTTGTCATTTATGTTATATTGAGATTGGAAGAACACAAGACATAAGATGTTAACAAAACAGCAAGCATATCAACAAGAAATTTGGAAGAAACAAAAATAGCAAGCATTTCAAAAAAGTTACCTGCGTCGAGCGAGCAATTACTTGCAGTATCCTGGAGCTCTTTTGATAACCTCATCTGCAATAGAGAATGTCTTTTGTTTGGGTAAGTTTACTTCAGCATCTGAAACAAGCTGAAACTGCTACAAGTTGGGCAGTAAATGCTCCCACCAAGAAAAAAAAAATCAGCATACTCGAAGCCTGCTGATAGTATAAAAAGTAGGGTCAGGGTTATACCATACAGGTCGTAAAAATTGTGTCCAATTTAAAGGAGATTGTCTAAACCTTTTACTTCATCTAAATATGCATAAAACTTTTTGGATATTACTTCATTTGATGTCCAAATAATCACCTTCAGATTAAACTGACATTTACAGAAATATTGTTTAAGGCTCTATCAAGTTGATGAAGAACCTGATCTTTCCAAAATGGAATTGGCGCGTAAGTTCAAGATCAAAGAAAAAGATTGTCAGCCATCTTAAAGAACACCTCTATCTACAATCATGTTGTCTGACAGTGGAATATCATAAATTTCCCATCTCACCGGCGCACACCCTCTTTATATAACACTGTCAATATCAGCAAAACAAACTGGGCAATTTACATAATACGAGTGCAACAAACAGCTATATTAGCACATAAAAAAGCAGCGAAGCACAACACACTTTTCACTGACACGCCTATAAGATTAAATCAAAATTCAATGTAGAAATTGACTGCGTCCCTGTAAATTTGGTTCTTGAAGGTTTCGGACACAAGAACATAAAAATACAAGTAGGAGGTGCAACATAAAGCACCTAAGATTATGAACGAACCAAATCCATAAGAGAAAAAAGACGAGGCTGAAGCTGCGAACATTTATCCGTATCCGAAACCTTTAGAAGCTTTAAACAAAGAAACAACACGGGAATATAGGACAGAAAAACAAGTTTCAGATGTTTTCATGTTCTAAAAGATCAGTTACAGATATTATCACCCATAAAACACAAGACAGGACACAGTAGGAGACGATGAAACATGTTTCCTAGCGTCTCCCACATCTTTCCTTCAATACTGCTGTCAGATGAATATACACCAATGACTTGTTACGAATTAGAAAGGAGAACTGCAACAAGCATAGGTAGTGGTGATGGGATGTATTCGAGAGCTGTTGCTTGTTTACAAAATGGAGCAGCTCTTCTGTGCCTTCTTCTTCTTCTTCTTTGCCTTCGGTGGCTGGAGTACTACCTTGATAGCAGTATCAAATACTCCCTTCACATTCTATACACCGAAAATGGTTTAATTAGACCAATATTTTATGGAAGGGGATAAGGCCGAGAAGGGTATTTAGATAAGGAAAAGACATACTTGCTGCGTTTTTGAGCTGCACTCTATGTAGGCTGGAGCACCTATTTGCTTCATCAATTCTTCCCCCTTAGATTAATATCATAATAAAATTAGCAATGACGTAAAACAATGGAAATGCCGTGAGGCAATTTACTATGTAATTCATTTTTCACCTGTGCCGTTGAAATGGGAACAGCACCAGGGTGATCTTCGAAGAACTGCTTATCATCCCGAAGATCTGGAAGACCAATAGGTAGCTAAAGATTAAAATAAAAAAGAGAAACAGTAACAAGTGAAACCAAACTTTTTCTGCAAGCTTCCCTGAATAGAGTCAATAACTGATATCTTTGAATTAATAACTTCCAATTGGTAATAAAAAGTGGTAATAAAAAAATCTATAAGAGAAGGCTGGAGCCAAACATAACCACAAAAGAGAATAAAGGTTCTACAAGCATAAATAAAAAGATGGAATATGTAATTCAGAGCCTCAGTTAGTGTTTGGCCTCAGTTTATGGTCCGGTTTTAGAAGATGGCCAAGACAAAGAGATCTACAACTCGTTAAGGGAGGTGCCTATAATTATCTGCTATTTACAGAATTTGGGAAGAGAGGAACTCTCTAGAAAGCATAAACTTGAAGCTCATCCTCCTCAGTGTGATATTCAGAAATGTTTTGTAGATAGTAAATGCAAAATCGAATCTAGCGTCACGTGATGGTTTGTAATAATGGGACTAGTGTGCCTCAGAGTCATTCTACAAGGGTACTGGAGGTACGTGAGGCTCTGTTTTCCCTCAACTTTGTTAATCACAGGTTTGTTTTGCGGGAGTGTGTTCTTTCTTCAAAGTATATGATTAGATGTCTTTGAGTGTTTTTAGATTAGCCTAGAGTTGTTATGTAATTGCACAATGTTGTTGTCTGCTGCTTCTAAATTGTTTTGGGTCCCGGTTTGGAGTTAGATTATTGTTAGGCTCCAAAACAAAGTATAGTGATGATATAGGAATATGATTGGGTTTGCTAGTGCTTTGTGAACCTGGGTATGCCCGGGTATTCTTTGTAAGGGTTATGTGATTAATACAAATTTCTCTCCTTTGCAAAATAATCAGAAGAAGACAACAAGAAACAACTTCTAGTTTCACACCCATGTAATTCCTGGAAGAGACGGTTCCTCAAATCATCTAAGAATATCCTTAACTTGACAAGTCAACATGCTATCATGCTAACAGCAGTGTTTATATATTCCAGATTTAGATAGGTCTCCAAAAAAGTTAGTGCAACGCGACCAAATGTAATTAGTTTTACAGTCCTGTGTTTAAATTTGTCCTAGTATCTGATAATTCATCATGAAGCACAGACTAAATAACATAATCATAGTTCGCCAAGACTAAAGATCTTGAACATAAACCTCAACCTCAAATTATATTATAAGTTAACCGGCCATTATAGGCAAAACAAGAGCTATTCCTATGAAAAGCAACTTGGTGCTGAAAAGATAAACAACCTTTTCCATTTTGATGCAACCAGTATCTCCTAAGTAAGCCACAAATATCCTGGCTACATTACATAAACCTCACGTTACACAATGATTTAGCTTCAAAACACAATTCACGTGACATATTTCATCTCAATTACTATCCCCTGACATTCATGAATAGGAGACCAAAAAATTGATGCAGGACGGATCATGGCAAAGCGCTATTTGCATACACAAGTACAACTGAAAAGAACATGATGTGAAGCTTCTTCTCCATCCTTCTTTATGTACAATAAAGGAACTATGAAATAAACATAGAAATATTCTAACAATGCTTCTAAACAGGGCCTAAAATTGAACAGCTTAACAAGTGTGATTGGAGAGCAACAGAAAATGCTCTGGGAGGTCCAATCTTCAAAAAGAACATGATGTGAAGCTTCTTCTCCATCCTTCTTTATGTACAATAAAGGAACTATGAAATAAACATAGAAATATTCTAACAATGCTTCTAAACAGGGCCTAAAATTGAACAGCTTAACAAGTGTGATTGGAGAGCAACAGAAAATGCTCTGGGAGGTCCAATCTTCA